ATCTCCGATGCCCTACGAAACCAGACAGCTTTGTTTCCTCACGTCAGTCACAACTCACAAGTGTCATTTAAAACCCATTTAAATTATGCACTAATAACTCATCTCATCGTAACACCCGAGCTACTGAGTGAACAACAGCAGGAGCAGCTCAGTTATAAACGTCATGGGAAATCAGCTGCAAATTCCATGGGCCCCACCAGCCTGTCCTCTGCAGCGCTCGGCCCTCCGTTGCGGCGGCGGAGGCCCCACTGCGTGGGCGGCGGTCGCGGTCGAGCGTTTGTTGACACAGCGCCACAAACACGATGGCCGGTCGGCGACACAGACGGCCCGAGAGTGACCCGGCGGACCCCACGGGATGCCCCTACCGCTCTTCTCCCCTCCACCGGATATTATGCTGTCCACCCGGCACCAGATGTCAGGTGCTGGGAGCGGATCGGCGAGGATTGTGTCATTATCTGCAACATTTACTGAATGGTTGTCTCTAGGGCTTGCAATGAAGTCACAATTCGTAAAAAAGTACACCATAACCATTCATTACATACCGAAAGGCCATTTTTCAACCACGGTGAATATTTTTCAACTACGGCTGGGCTATAAATGACCTCTCAGCTTCAATTGTCTACAATCCTGGCGCTGCTCTGGATCCATCAACAGCCAGTTACAGTGCACTGCAGCACGGTGCAAGGCGTCACCAGCTCGCAGCGTCACCCCCACGAGCACATCCCAGCTGTCCTGCCCAGCTGCGGCCGGGCTTCGGCCGGCGTTCGGTAGGCAGCCATGCATACTGCGCAGCGCGCTGCATTGCAATGCCACTCAGACGAACCAACGAACCATGTGCAGACCATTATATAAATGTTTGGAAAGATGCCGTTATTCCAAAATCAGACAAACGTTTTCACGTTAGATTTAAGCAGGAAAATAAAATACAGATAAATGTTAGACAAAATTGTCTAATACGCTCGGCTACCACCAGCCGCCGGTGACAAGTGGGCCTAGTAAGTGACATGCTAAACACACGGATCACAGGCGAGATTCCGCAGGGAGGGTGTACGCGGCGCAGGGGAGTGGGGAGCAGGGGTGAGTAAGGAGAGGGGGAGCGAGGAGCGGCCGGCGGCACCCGTGACCCAGTGAGAGCGAGCGAGCCGATCGCTGACACTCGGCCAGCGCTGACAGACTGGCCCGGTTGGCAGCTGAACTAGCACCCCCGTTCGGTGGAACTGGCGCGGGGCTGGTCGGACGACCTGACGTGCTTCCGACAGCAGCTGGCGCGCGCGCGAGGCGGTCGGGTCACCCCGACCACTGACCACGGCACCAACTGGGTCACCAACCACTGACCACGGCACCAACTGGGTCACCAATCACTGACCGCTACACCACTGACCACCAACCAGGTCACTATCTACTGACCTATTCAATGGTAGATCTGGCTATGGATTTTTTTTAGGGAGGACAAGTCATGGTCAATAGTTTGGCAAATAACGTTTCTCAGGGGTGGGTTAATGGGTTTATACTTTGTAGTGATAACATGATTTATTGAAAAAGGAGGGTGTGGTAGCATTCAAATGGCAGAAAGAGCTATTGAGCGATGAGTGTGTGGGGGGAGGAGCTCTCTTAGCACTGCAAGAACCTAGACCTAAGGTTTGGGCTAGACATATCTACAGCCTTTGGGACTTGGGAGGTCTTTTATCTCAGTTTCAGATCTTTTGGATGTCAAGACTCTGATGCCCAGGGGCTAGGATCCACCTCTCAATTCATTGCTTACTAGAAGCATACATGCCTTCTACAAAAAAAAAAACACTAAATAATCCATTAGAAGTTCAGCTGAGCATACTGGATGGAGTGTTTGCCCACCATTATCAAAAAGGATTTAAAATTTCATCAGATGACCTTATTTGTTGGAGTTATTGTCAAATTGAAGAAAATATTCAACATCATGGGTATGTAACGACAATACGCATGCAATTTGCAGTGAGGTTGGGGTACTTACGCTTCACAGTATGGCAGTTTGTTGAATCCCTTGTATGTCCTCATGTTCAGTGCCATTCCACACTCCCAGCACCGGAAGCAGCCTTTGTGCCATGACTGAAACAGAACAGAGACCAGTGTCAATTGACAAAAGCATGGGAAATGTGCACAGGTGTCAAGCATGTCAAACTTGCCCACTTAATTCTGACAGGAAGCTCAAGGTTCTCTGCTTGCATGCATCCGCATATAATTGGCAGTCCTAAAATGTTAGGGCAATAAGCATATAATGCCTTTTCTATTGCATGTGATCTAAAAGTTGTCAAATGCACAATTTTGTTCTTTTAAATTTTTACTGATAAGGTAGCAATCTCTTCTGGAGCAACCAAAGGGGAGGGCATTTTGAGCATTTGTCCCTCATGCCAATGCAGCAACTAAATTTGATAAAATTGTGTTGTCCTACCATTGATAAAAATTAAACTTCTGGAAGATTGAGATTACTTTTGCACAGCTGTCAATTAAATCACCAGAAAACAAAATAGCATTGGCCATTTTGAAGAATAAAAATGGGAGATGATGAAACTCAGCACAAACAACTTTCGGTATTCTCTTAGCAGACGTCACCCGAGCTGCCATATCCAGTTAGGTAGGTTGGTAGGTTAGGTTGTAGGTTGGTAGGTTAGGTTGTAGGTTGTAGGTTGTAGGTTGTAGGTTGTAGGTTGTAGGTTGGTAGGTTAGGTTGTAGGTTGTAGGTAAGGTTAGGTCAGGTTAGATTATGTTTTGTTATATATTTAACCGTGAAAAGACAATTGTTGCGCATGTCAAGGCCATCTATAGAAGGTACAGTCACTCCCCCGTCGACCAATCAGAGACAGATCCTGAGTGACGTCACCCCTGATGCTCGCAAGGGGTGCTCCATTCCTTTACAACGTAAAAATGACTAACTTCATTTGAAGATTGTTGGTGACACTCTACTCATATCGCTCAACCGTTGATGTCATTGGAAAGTCCAACTAATTTTCTAGCGATAAAAAAGAGCAGCAATATGCTAAGAAATGGCCGTTTTTGAAGATAAAGACGATTTAAAAATCCTCCGCAGTTGCAGGAAAGCAACGTAAAAAGGCATCGAGCTTATATTTTTACTATGAATAAATCATTTTTCAGTAAGTTTTTAGATATGGTATCGATTTAATCAACAACTTTATTACAATATTTTTATTACTTGCAACTTTATTTCAAAATAATCTTTTCAAAAATGGCAACTGTTGGTAAGTAGCTTTGAAGCGTTTGTGGCGCACCGCGCCATTATTGTCCTGAGGCCCCCTTATGATGTCATCAAAAGTGGAGTGACATGGGCCTGGCGCATGTGAGACGTAGATATGGCAGCTCGGGTGACGTCTGCTAAGAGAGTACCCAACTTTCTGGGTCTCGCAATGATTCATCCTTCTGCCTTCACATGCAGATCAATTAACATCTGCATTTTCTGGGCATTGTAACTACAAAAAGTCAGTCAGTGGTTCAAACATTGATCAAGTGGGCACATTAGAATTGAACATGGGAGTGATCACTAATCAGGATGGTTTACCAATTTTTGAGCTCAATTAAACTGAAACGCAATGCAGAAGCAGACATTCAACATCATTCACATGCACCATACTTGATACTTGCACTTACTTTGTCTAAGCACTTCAGCTCTTCTGTAGGATATACAGTTTTCGTACACTTTCCACACTTTTTATTCATAATTCTCGTCTATAATCGTATGGCACAGGGTTCACTTTCCTCCACGTCCACTGCGCGTGGCAAGAGGGGCGCGACAGCCCGCCTCGAAGCAACAGCTTAAGTATGTTTAGTCAGAAGCACTGTCACCGTTTAGCTGATAATAACCACACGTAAATAAATGCATTTAACCAGCGCACACAATCACATATCCGATCCAAGCGAACGCGACAGACCACCCGCGCTCCGTAACGGCAAATGGGCGCGTCGCGTCGGAGAGGGCGCAGTGCTCATCTACTGGTTCAAGGTTCGCAAAATTACCTACACGTTTTCTGGTAGAGTCGGTAGAGTCAGTCTGCGATCGAATTTCTAGTCTGGATGACGTCAGGACTATGATGATGTCATTGGAGTACTTAGGAAATAAATGGAATTATTGGAATTTGGAAAAATATTACAAAAATTCAATTATTTCAAACGCACCAATGATCATACTTATTCCATTTAACACTGGCATCATAAGCTACCGCCCACCCAGCATCGAGAGCATCCTATTCCTAACTTGTTCTCGGTTTCCCAAATCGGAACATTGCCTAACCGGTATTCATCGCCTTGGCCTAACCGGGCCTGACCATTATTTTCGCAATGACAGTTTTCTTAGACAATTGCGCTCTTGCTTAGTTCTGAGCATTCAAATGCATAAATAACGGTAGGACTGATCAGAAGCGCAATTTTTAGGCTCCGTCCTAGTGGAAGTCTCGGGGGCAAACTTTGCAAAGGTGAGTGGCCAAAATTGCCATCGGCATCGACTCCAATGCCGTGAGAGATGAAATGACGTACATCGCGCAAACAGGCGCTTGACAGCTCTCAATGAGTCGTTGCTACAAAACCAAATTAGGCATAGTTTGCTCAGACAATGACCTCTGTAAACTTAGGTGATAGGTCTATGATTCTGTCTATGACTATCTATCTATTGTATAACTATTAACTACCGAGGGTTATGGCTCAGGTCAAGAAATAGACAGACGGGCCCAAAATAGAAATGTCCACTAACACCAGGGACACATCCAGAAGGGTCCCAGTCCTAAGAAATGGCTAGACAAGGGGGCCAGTTGAACGAGACGAGTTCTAGAAATGCCTACTCAAAGGGCGCGGGCCCCGATGACTCTAAGAAAGGTCTAGACACAAGAGCCCGGTCGAAAGGGTCCCGGCCCTAAACAAAAAATACCTAGACACAGGGACCCGGTCGGGTGGATTCCGTTTCTAAGATCTGCATTATCTTCTCGCAAATATCCTCTCAAAAAGGTCTTGGAGCCATGTTGAGCGGGACCTTTTTTTTATTAAACGTCGTGGTCCGCCGGAGCCAGTGCCAACGGGTCTGGGCCAGGTTCTGCAGTGCTAATACGTCATTCGGCCAATCAGAACCCAGTGACAGCTTCAAACGCATCCATGTTCATTAATCATTTTTACCGTGTTATATTTTTGCCGAATAACCAGCACAAAATTATACGCTTGACGCGAATATGTTGAGATTATGGATATGCATGCAGAGAAAGCGCGATTCAGACCACAAACAAATTGTCTTCTGTTTTTTGGTCAGTCAAAACGCACCCAGTTGATAACAAACTTGCGACCAAATGCTAAATATCGAAACTCGTACGCATATGTAAATTGGCTGACAATTATGTTAGGTACCTATTCATCCACTGTGTTCTGCAAATCGCAAGGCACAAATCATACCCTGTCAATGCTGTATCGACTGTCAACATCTCAATGCATCTCTCAGCAACCCTTTATCGCAGTTAAGCCAATCCAGTGTGGGTAACACAAGCCTATGCAGCGCTACACCGAGTTGAGGAACAGGTTCATCAGCACGTCTGTGTAGGTGGCGAGCTGGACCATGCCGTAGATGGGCTCGGCGGACTGCCCCAGGGCGCGGTTCACCAGGTCGATGGGGATGCCGAGGTTGTAGATGGTGTTGTAGCTCTCCGTGATCCGTCCCACCTCGTCAGGAGCCAGGTACCCTGCCGGAGGGACGGTAGAAAATAAACAATTTTTTTAATGATTGACGTTGTTGTAGCGATTTATCACTCTCAGACCCCAGCAGACGCCAATGGGGAAGAGGGGCGTTATATATATACAATAGGTACTGCTCAATCAAGCGTGATTTGTACGTCCTCAGAAGTCGAAAACTGTACCGGTTATCAATCATGACGCGTGTTCTATCACATAACCTTCACTAACAGACCCGAACAGTGTCGTTTTTTCCCGATTGGCGGAACCTGCTACGCTCGGCCGGCCGCTCACCTCCGTCCTCTGCGCCGCTGAGGCTCAGTGTGGTGACCAAGTGCTGATAATCTGCCATCCACTGGTCGCGGTCAAACTCGGGGGTCGGCGGTGACGGCGGGTAGGCAGTGTCGTACGGTATCGCCCCGGCACTCTCCGGCCGAGCTGAGTCCTCCGGAACGCCTTCCGGCTCCTGAAGCAGTGTCGGTGGAATGGGGTAGTTTGGGAACGGCTCAACATCGCTAACAGAGAGACACACACCATAACAGCGGACTAAGCATGAGTGAGAGCGGATTGAATAAATACTGAAAATTATAGACGTTAGATTTCCGGAAAAGTGCGTAAGACAGACAGTAAGCCCGTTATTTTGTCGCGTACCTAAACCGTGGCTAAAATATGCTCCTTACGACACGATTTAAATACTAAATTTGATTAATGTTCTAAAGTACCACAACAAATATCCAAGCTGGGATTAATGTGGCTTAAAATGATTCCACATTTAAATATAGGAGAGTGAATGCTTCTTTTTTTGGCTCCGTAAAGACTGCCGAAACAAGTGAGCAGTCTGCGCGCCGGCTCCAGTAGGCTGGTGGGTAGGCTGTGCCGCAATACCGCCGAACGCCTGTAGGTAGACTGTGCCGCATTACATGGCGGCGGCCGGCGCAGTCTATTTACAGGCAAACCGAGCGCTAGGTACGACGAGCATTCGGACATGCGCGCTGCACATTGCACGTAAAAAAGCTTCATACATGAAGTGCCCATACACTGTATCTAAATACGATTCTCTCCTTTTTCTTCAAACCTGGTCGGCCAGCCGCGGCTGGTAGGCGGGCTGGGGTGGCCGGTAACTGGAGTTGGCGATCACCGGAGGCGGTTCCTTTGGCCGTCTCGGACGGTGGTTGTTCCCGATGCCTGAAATTATGACTAAAATGTCAATTTAGACGTTTCTTTATTTGTGCAATGCATAATTAAAAACTAATTAACGTTTCCTTATACCTTTTAAGCTATTAAGTTTATGCACGTAGAATGCAAAGTCTATGCACAGACTAAGTGCGCACTGCACAATGCACGTAGAAAGTTTAGGCGCATTTGAGGCGACTGAGATTCCTGATGTTTTCCGTCTCACCACTGACCCTGAATAGTACCGCTGGCCCGGCTGGCGCCCGGTGAGGCCCTGCCCAGGTACGCCGTTAGCTTGTCGATGTCACACAGGCCGTTACCCTGTTTGTCTGTGGCCGTGCACAGCCTGGCCAGCAGCTCCTGTGGCATGTCCTCCAGCCCGCAGCGGTGCAGACCCGTCTCTACCTATAGGGGATACATAAAGAATAGTGATTGTTCTAATTGAAAAGTCCCAACCTTCGGATACACTCAGCTCAGTTCCGCCTATCCAGTTTTGTGACGTTTTTACTATATAATAAGATATATTAACCTTACTCTCATATTAACCAAACGATATAAAAAAAAATCAAAACGACAAAATACAAAATACTGAGGCAGGGCCGAAGCTGTATTTTGTCTTTTTGAATTTTTATGTCGTTTTGAATTTTTATATCTTTTGGCTAACATAAGAGTAAGGTCTCTTATCTCTTATCTCTCTTAACTCTCCTCTTATCTTATCTCTTATAATAGTCATAACGTCTCTCAAAACTGTGCTCAAAACCCTTTGTGACGTTTTGTTAATTCTTAAATCTCAGTGACCGAGGCGACACATTATCAAGACCACTTTTAGCCACTTTTACCATATAAAAGTAAAACGTGAATATAATCGTTCTCATCATTCTACCTTAGTAAGTATTTCGCTTAAAACGTCTCTGCTTCCGATGGAGCCGGAGGGTAAGAATAACAACCGACTTATTCGGAAAGAATGAAAATATGGTGCTCTACCTGAGGTGCTTCAGACGGTTTGCCCCTATATACGATTAAATTATTTTAAGTTAATAAGCGTTCGCGAGCATATAATTTATTTGGCGCATTAGGTATTCATTACTTATATATCCTGGTGAGAGGGTCAGAACACACCTCACCTGTTGTGTGGACAGGAAGCCGTTCCTGTCGCGGTCCAGGTCGTAGAAGGTCCTGCTGAGCTGGTCCAGGTCCAGGGGTCGAGGTTTCAGGTAGGCGGCCAGGTCCTCCTTGAGCCGGGCATCGTCCCGCTCGGTGAACGCACGGCCGAGCCGCGGAGCCGGCGCCTACAGACAAACGCGGGGTTATTTTTTATGGTAAATTATTTGATTAAATTAATTTCATTGGCGAAGCAAGAACCACCGAACATCAGTGACGCATAATACCACAAAAAGACATAGAGTGCAGAGGAAAAGTTCGCTAGAGAATTGCCAATGATGTCCCTCAGCTAGCGTACCAATGACAAGTCATCAATTACCGATCACTTGGATGGACCCAGTATACGTAAGCGCACTTGTATGGCTATCGGCCTCCCCAAATTATACTGAATACTTGTCTCTCCCCTGAGGCGGCTACCTGAGCTTTCGGCGGCGACTGTCTCTGAGGCGGCACCGTCCTGCTCGCCTCCAGCCGCACTGAGCTCAGATACTGGATCAACTTCTCGTAGCGGACGGCCTCCGACGACTCGGAGAACTTTGTCACCAGACTGTCCTCCGCCTCCGGAGTCAGCGTCAACTGAAGAAGGCGACATCGGAGGTCGGAGGTCATGTGACCCCCTTGACTTGACAGGCGAGAAATAGGCAGGCTGCCTGACTGCCTCTTTTAATCTATTGCGTGAATGCTTATCGTTCCTTCATATTATCATTCGTCGCTCTCTAATACGGGCATTATCGCTTGCACACGACTATTAACTCCAGAATGGTTTTAACCGGTCTATTATGGCCCGGCCCAAGATGGGTCTTGTGTGGTCCGGTCCAATCCGGTCCGGTTCCGGTGTGGCTCGCTGTGGTCCCGGTGGGTGTGCTCCGTACCTGGTGTTTGTGCAGGGTGTGTCGGACGTGACTCGGTGTCAGCACGCCTCCCGATCCCCGTCCCTGTGTGGTCCCAGTGTGGTCCTGGTGTGGTCCCACTCCCAGTGTGGTCCATACCTGGTGTTTGTGCAGGGTGCGCCGGACGTGACTCGGTGTCAGCACGCCGTCCCAGTCCCGGTCCTTGTGCGGTCCCCTGTGGTCCCTGTATGGTCCCCTGTGGTGCCGGGCCGGTGTCGTTACGTATGGATCCGGTCCCGGTGTGGTCCGTACTCCGTACCTGCTGTTTGTGCAGGGTGTGCCGGACGTGACTCGGTGTCAGCACACCGTCCCGGTCTCGGTCCAGAGTCCGCAGCTCGTTCAGAATTCGCTGCACCCGCCTCTCGTGAAGCAGCTCGGAGCTACGGTACAGCTCGTTTCTGAAACCGTCCGCCAAGCCGTGGCCAACTAGCAGTGTACCGGGGTGGCGTACAAATGGGTGGTTCTCCTATGGTGTCATTCTACCTATCACATTTCTTGAAACGTGTCGGTAGATAAAAAAATACCTATCGACTATCGTAGCATAATCATTTCACAATTGTGTACGAATTCAGTTGTGATGTCCGGCGGTCACATGTTTAGCTTACTTGAGAGTGATTTCCTGGAGCTCGCCCAGCTTCTTGAGCTGTTTACTGGAGCTTGTTGGGGTGATAGGAGGCAGCACCGAGAAGCTGGCATTCATAGCCCCGTTCGTTACATCCTGAAAACATGCAAAGAGCATCGCTGGGCGCAGACGGACTCACAATGATCCTGAGCAGCGATAATTGCGGTCTAGGCGTTTATTTGGCACAAATCACATCTTTTTATTACGCTAATTAGTAATGGATATTGGATAACACACCAATAATTAAAAGTAAGTCTCATTGCATATGGCTCCGTAGTCCCCCACCGGGCCGGGAACCTTCGTTCCCTTGCGTGAAAAGAATCGACTTCAAATGGTCCAGTTTAAAACCACAATCAACTTAGCGCTACCCTGAAGCCGTTAAGCGGTGACAAATGGCTCATTGGCTCCTCATCAAAATGCAGTCGGAAATGGGTCACAGGCAACTATTGAAGGACCGCTGCGGCCGTTCGCCTACCGAGGTGCGGCGCGGCGCTGATCGGGAGTAGGTGACCTCCGGCTGGCGGGCGCCCACGATACTCTGCCCGGCGCCCTGTGCCTGCGGCGGGCTGCCCGGTGTGACCTGCGGCCGGCCGGCGGTGGCGCCCCCAGCTCCGGTCACCAGCCGCTCCGCCGGCACCCGCTGCGGACTCTCCGCCGGCGGCGGGGGACGGTACTGCGAGTTCGCGCCGCCGCCGCTAGGCGTCACTCTGATGGTCGGGTTCTGCTCCACCCGCACCTGGCTCCGGAGCGGGTCGGCTGATCGGCTCGGCGGCGGCCGGTACGCCTGCTGCAGTCCGTTGTCTCTGCGGTGACAGGGCACGTGCAAGCGGCATCACAGTCGGTTTGTTTTCACGAACACTGACACCAGTGATGACAGTTTTTGTCAGGATTAGCTAATATCGGACACAGGTTGCGCCGGCAACGTCCACACCTGTCCATCGACCCTGCACAAGCCGACGATCGATCTTCATCGTTGACCATCAGTCTGTTTCATGACATAACTGCACGTCGGCAAATATTACCCGAGCGTCTGTAATGACCTCGAACTTTCGTACGTATACGCCGTCACCGCCGTAGGTAATGTGCGCGCAGAACGCCGTGCCTCGCCTTAGTACCTCAGCGCAACACTGCCCAATGCCCCAACTAGGACTGCAATGACAAATGTTATGTCGTGAAGGTGATGGATACTGATGAGTGTTGCGCCTTTATGCCTAAACGTGAATGTATTTGCCCGCCTACGGCTGTTGTTTGTTTGCAGGAATTCGAATGGTCGCCGGTGAATGCAGGTTTGTCCAGGGTGATCGGTGGGACAGGACAGTCGATCGTTGCCAGGTTACAGACAGACCAGGCAATGATCCGAACACCACCTGCTGCGAGCAGCTGTCAAACTACGTCAGCAGGTACCGGCCGAGGGCAGGGTCAAACAAAGGTCAGCATCGGATGTGACAGCTTACGGCATAGCTGAATGAAATGTGAACTAAGGTCGGCGGTATGAGGAATTAGTTAGATGGGTTAGCGTCTAAGTTTCGTTAGAACCAATACGGCTTCATACGGAAAGGGGCATCAACGTGCAAAAGTCCACCAAGATGAGTTTTCTTTTTACCATTAGAATTTTGCTCTGTAAATATCCCGTCAAATAAAACCGTTTTGAAATATCAGAAAGTTTTCCTTCTGTTAAAGGTAGTGTGCCACCTTTGAAAGATTTCCCATTTTATTTTTCCTAGGATAAGAAGCTTCTGTTTTTACCTAATATCGCAAAGAAAATCAAAAATGGGCCTGGAATAGTGCCTTTTTCGCCTAAAAGTTTATCGGTTTTTCGATATGTATAACAACTGTAGTGGGCTGACCTGCAAACAGGCGTCGGCAACAATCGCGAATGCGGCGCACATGTGACAATAAGCAAAGGTCATTATAGAGTTACGACGTACGGGAATGAGTTATCAGCTGTCTAATCGTAGACAACACAATGTCGAGCCTTAAACTGTAAGCCTGTATTGGTATTGTTTCTTTTATTTGGCTGTCGAACATTATTTATGGTTTGAAATATGATTTTATGTAAAATAATTGATATGAAAAAGCCGTCTCTTAAGTTATGACCCCATTTCACCACACGCAAGTGGCAGAAATGACAATGATCAGCTGACGCATTTTTCTTGGCCGAAGTCAGAGCGCGCGGCCCGACGCACCACCACCGCACCACAAAGTATGAGCAGAAGCCGCGCCCAAAGCCAGGGCCCCGGTAACGTGAGGTAGCCGAGTCGGGGCAGCGTGCGCTGACCCAAGCCGGGGCCGCAGCTTTGGGCGCGGTCTACCGCATCCCCGCGGGCAGCCCCGGGCTATCACATGACACCGGGAGGACGCGCGGCCCCGGCTTGGGTCAGCGCACGCTGCCCCGACTCGGCTACCTCACGTTACCGGGGCCCTGGCTTTGGGCGCGGTCTACCGCACCACCTAACAGGCGTGTTCGAAACCGCAGGAGATGATGATGAACGGGTTTATCGAAACTTGATTGGATGAGCATATCGGTAATAGCGATTTCAGTGTGTGCATTTATTGTTCATAGTGGTGTGAAATGTGGTTGGGGTACGACCGACAACCCGTCGGGGCGAATTTCGCACTGGGGTACTCAAAATTTGAAGAATTTAAGACGTTTCCATGAGTTTTGAAGGTATGGATAAGTTCTAAAAATCCGGTTCTCCTTATCTGGGCCATTAACTCCATACGGTCCAGGAAAGCTGGCACACTACCTTTAAGTCTATAGGTTCCGTCTGTGCGGGACATTGTTAGGTAGGAAGGTAGCGGAACTAAAGCTGATAATACTGTATGTTTCATACGGGCAAAAGGCACCATCGCGTAGAAGCACTTTGAGTTCAGGCGGGTGCCAACGGCTCCCAAGCCGGTGAAGTGATTTCAGCGAAACGTACCTAATGCAGGTGTCAAATGTTTTCGGTTGCGGGCCTAACTTTCTGGAATTTGTTGGTAGGACTTCAATCATCAATGTTTAATTTTGTGATACCAAAGTAATTCTTACCATGCACCACCATAAGGAAAATAATAAAACATTTAAGTCATTGGTAGCACTGGGGCCACACAAGGCCTATAAAATGACACCAATGGTTTCGCTTGACCAGACGTAGGTTAGTTTATGTAAGCCGTTTCACTCGAACCGGAAAAGTACTTACAGAATAAATTGTAAACGGGCAATAAGATCACGAGAATTGTATTTAGAAGGTATGGGCAAGTTACCTTGCCACTGGAAAATGCGTTTCAGTTCAAGTACACGTATATATTTTCAGACGTTTAACGTTCTTTTTTCTTTCCCATTCGGCGGGATCCGAAAGTCATTTTGATACCGAATGTATAATAGAGCACAACGCACATTAGGTATGCAATTAAAAGTTTCCTTATAATTACCATTCATGATGAGATATATGTACCTATTTACTTCAGCGTAACGTTTTAGACGGCACTGGCAGTTCTGATCTTCAGTGCGATCGCGCCACAGAGATAAACAAATTTCAGAATGACTGTTCCTTGGCCTTTTTCTAGGAAGCCTAAACGAAATAAAACGAAACACAGTTCAGCTGCAATAGACGGGGCAGTTACCAACTGTCAGATCCATGCCGTTTCCGTGGAGGCCTGTCCACAGTGCCTATTAGATGCACTCACCCGTTCTGCCACACCACCACACGTCTGCCGCCGACAATTTTCACTTGGTAGCGCCGCTGCTCGGGTGCCGTCCCAGCGGCGTCCCTCTGCAGGCTGCGCTTTTCAACCAGGGGCATCGCCTCGCCTGCAAAGCAGTGGCATTGGTCACGCCACAGGTAAACTTATTAACTCGTACGTAGACGGAAATGTCGTACAATACTAACCACCCAAATATAGGTATATGCTAGCGCGATAACGTAAAACGGTGTCCGCCTTATTTATCACATGGACATGAGTTATGTAAAAAGACCTATGGGAATTTATCTCATTGAATTGTATTGCCTAAATCGTTCCTGAAAGTCAGGGAATCTAGCACCATTTAACAATGGACAGGCTGCCCCATTATTATGGGTATTCATACATTTATGCGCTTTTTAACACGTAAAAGTCACGGGATCTGACAGTGTGGAAGAACAATGGGTACACGGATAGGTAGAATTGCGAACCTGACGTGCGTAGATTGCAATGGAAGTGCGTTCCTCACCCTGCGAAGGTGGAGACGGACTCACTAAGCTGTAGGTGTAGAAGTTTCGGCTTCTGATGGACGATCACCGGTGACTGATGGTGGATGATCAATGCTCACTGATAACAAGTGATGAGAGGGTGCTGACGGGGGTGATCACCAGTCACTTATTTTGAGCGATCAGTAGTCCCTGTTAAGAGACAACCAGCAGTTAATGTCGGTGGATTATCAATCACCAGTTATCCGCCTGCGGCTTATCACCGGTCTCTGATGGTCAGCAATCGGGTATCACTGCAGGCGCTGCAATGATCAGCAATCACTGGTGATAGCCAATTGTAGTCACCGCTGATGTTTGACGATCAGCGATCGCCGATGTTGGACATTCAGCGATCACCGATGTTGGACGATCAGTGGTCACTGCTGGTAGGCGACCTGTTGTTCCACTGCTGATTGTTGCCCGCCGGGGCGGCGCCCCGTCGCCCCGATGGGCTCCACCGACTAGCCGACACTGTCTCCCGACACCTCCTGCAGGAAGGAGCCACCGAACAGTGCGCCGACGCATCCCCCCCCCCGCGAGTCCGATCGCTGGCAGGTGTCGCTATTGACGGTTTGCCCGCCAATGAAGTATGGATGCCACGGCCGCCGCCGCCGCTGCCGCCGCCGGCGGTGCAGCCGTGGCCTTGGCGTGAGCCGTGCACAACAGTTGGTGCCCCCCCCCCCCATCAACCCCTCATTGCTCATTGACCGGCCTCAATGACGTAGACTGACCCCACCTGGTCGCGACCGACGACCTGGCGACGCCGCATCAACACAAAGGCGGCCGCGGCACTCACTGCTCCGAGCCGGATGTGTACTGTTCAGCGGCTCCCGTGGTCGTACCGTGTAGGCCGCGACGGAAGATAAGTTGCCGAATCATCAACGATTCGGCAATGTCAGATAGTTAGGCATGTGGACAATGGACGCACGATTAACCGCAATGTAGGTAACTATCATAAATCGCATTCAAATTTCAGCAAGTTGTGAGCTTTTGCCAGAAGAAAGATAGGCCTGAGAATACCTATGTTCTGGTGCATTATTTCGTAAGGCAAAGGCATGTGGACAATGGACGCACGATTAACCGCAATGTAGGTAACTATCATAAATCGCATTCAAATTTCAGCAAGTTGTGAGCTTTTGCCAGAAGAACAGTAGGCCTGAGAATACCTTTGCTCTGCTGGTGCATTATTTCGTAAGGCAAAACATTCAAAACGTGGAGAATCAAATGTGCACCGTTAACATTATCAAATTTTTGAAAAATCAACAACACTTCAGCAAACGTTGAACATCAATGTCGGGTCTCGCCAGAGAATGAGATGCCTCTCTATCTCTACGTGCAACAGGAAGAGAATATGAAATAAGACATGGTGAAACAACCATTATCAGCAACATGCTCCGTATGAGGAGCAGCACAAGGACACAGCATCCGGGAAGCACTGCTCCTTAGAGTCGGAACGGTCGAACGGATGCGCCCAAGACGCCGCGGCGCTCAGTTTGCCTGTATGTAGACTGCGCCGTCCGCCGCCGTGTGATGCGGTACAGTCTACCTGCAGGCGTTCGACGGTATTGCGGCACAGCCTACCTACCGGCAGCCGGAGCCGGCGTGCGGCGCAGGCGCGTTACGGCTATCTTGAGGATGAAGAAGCGTATAAACAGTGGCGGCGGAACACCTTCAACTAAGGGGGAGGGGGGCACTGCCGACTTTTGGTCCCATTCTTTCCATGCAACGCCCATAGGGCTAATGTTAAAATGTCAAAATCAAAGGGGGCACGGTGCCCCGGTGCCAAACTTTCCACTTTCTCACTGTTTGAAGCTGGACAGGGAAGAATGTGTATAATGTAGGTATTGTGTAATGAAGCGATTTAAATTATTCATTCGGTGTAATTTTAATGCCGATATGCAGAATCGAAGAATAACCGCTGTCGGCGCTGTCGGCTAATAGCCCGTCGCTTGGACCCGCTCCCTTCACAAGGACAAAGTTAACTAATTCTGTATGGTTACCTTGGCTCCTTATTTGTGTGTGTGTGTGTGTGTGTTTTTTTTTGTTGGTTGAGTATAGTAAATAGGTACCGTGGCAAAACGCTTGACATGTGGAGTGGATGCCTGCAGTCACTCAAAGCAACAACCCACCATTGCTTATAATGACCAAGAACCGAGCCGCGCAGAGCGCTGAGGCATTACTTGCTTTCCAGGGAGACAGAAATGCATCGATTTTTATTACCTGTCTGTTGTTAAGCAAACAACCAAAACTGACAGCACGAATTAAATGTTGGAGCATCAAACTTATGTTGAGATCAAGGACGACATGGTAAAGAACCAGCGCTTATCTCCAAACGATTTAAACGTTAGCATTAGACGAATGAATAAGCGTTACATTTTATTGCTGTAGTATTTTTCCTAGGAGAACCAACAACACCCACCGAGTGCCGAAAGGTGGCTCTGACGAAGACAGCGGGAGCCTGCGGCGGCCAAGGACCCGTCCCACTGCCGGAGCCGCTCAGTAGGGTCGGATTCCCTCCGAGGACCAGTCGGTCGAGTGGCGCAGAAAGCCGGGAGCCGAGGCGCGCGCCGCCACCCGCAGCGGGAACGTGTTCCTGCCGTCCTTCTCCAGCCTCTCCAGCTCCGACCTCACATACTCGTCAAACTGCTTCTGCTCCTTCCGCTGGGTGCGTTTCAGCGCCCTCACCTCGGCGTACTCCTCTTCTTTCTCCACCAGCCGCTTGGCCTCCGTCTCGTCCACCTGCTCGCGCCAGTCGCGCCGATTGCGCGCGCGCTGGTCGATCAGGTCCCGGTGACGGTCGCGCAGCTCGGAGGCCATTGCGGCCGTGCGCTCGTCCTGCAGGCGGCGCTCCAGGTGTCGCTGCCGGTCGGCCTCCTCCTGCTGCTCGCGGTAGCGGCGCAGCTCGGCCGACCGGTGCTGCCGAATCGTCTCCACCATGTCGGCGCGCGCGGCCGCCTTCTCCGCCTCCAGAGCGTCGTCCTTGGCGCGCTTTTCGGCCACGGCGGCGGCGATGCGCGCGTCCTCGTCCGACTGTTTCGCCATCAGCTGACGCTCCAGAAGGGCGCAGGCGACTTCGCTGCGCCGCCTACTGCGGTCCAATATCTCGTCCCGTGTTTGCTTGATTTGTCGAGCCATTTCCAGCTTTCCCAAACTGTATATGCGAGTTTCGACATTTTCCTCCTCTTCCCTCTTCTGCTTGAGAAGCTCAAATGCTCGTTGGGTTCGTGCGTATTCGTTCGCTTCTTTTTTCATCTGCTGTCTTTTTTCGTACTCTTCCTCCTTTTCAAGTTGCAGTTCGTGTTCGTACTGCCGAGTGGCTTCCCGGACCTGTTCAGCATATTCCAACTCCTTCTTCTTGGCTTCTTCCTTAACCGCAAATGCGACCTCAATCTCCTTGGCGTTGGAGCGCTGCATGGCGGCGCGGCGATCTCTCTGCTGCTGCGCCTCGATCTCTGCCTGCCGCGCCCAGTCAAAGTGAAGGTGCTTCTGCCACTGACGCTCCCGCTCGTCCTCCCGCTTCTTCATCTCGGCTTTCAGCGCCACCTGCTCGTCGCGTTCCTTCAAAACCTCAGAGAGCAGCAGCGCACCGTCTAAGTTACGAACTCGTTCTTCATTGTGGAACAGCATCTCCCTGGCGGCGTCTAGCTTCTGCTTTCTCAAGACGGCCTGTATTTTTGCTTCCTCCGCGTCAATGGCGAGCTGATCTTCCTCTTTCTTTCGTAAACGATCCTCTCTGTCTTGAAGCCTTTTTGCGTGGAGTTTCGCCAATGTGTTGGGCCAGTCATCTTTCATCTGTTTGGAGACAGCCTGTCGATGCTGTGCGGCCTCCCGCAATTTCTGCCGTCGTGCTTCCTCCTCCTGCTGCCTGGTCAGGTGGCCGCGGATGGAGTTCCATTTGTCACGCGATAGTAGCGCCGTATCGCGTGGCAGATTCGTCGGCACGTAAACCACTGGCATGGCTGGAGACTTGGTCGCATATAACGACTTATCAGGTCAAACCGGACATCATCAGCACCTCATGCAATGAAGCACGATTTATTCAGCTTTCTGTCTGAATAAATGGCGCTATCTTTCTCCTTTTCATCGACGTCAGTTGTCCGGCTCTTGCTGGATTCAGTTGGATTCTCGCTTCATTTGCTCCGCTTGCTTCTTGCCTCAGTCATCCTCGATTGCTTTTAAAATTTGTCATTTGATTTTCATTGCGACAGGGCACCGAACACGTGCCTAAGTTATGCACTGTTTCCAAAATGGAAGCATCAGCATCGATGTGTCAAAGAACGTAACGTCCTGTCAAAGTGCATATAGGCCATAAAAAACGTAACAAATAAACGAATATATCACGAGCTTCTTCAGAATCTTCAAAAGATACGCTGCATCAATAACGCACCGTTTGGTAAAAAAAATCTATTTTCATAGCACCTTAGCTTCCAAGGGGTAAGATTGACGGGAAAATATTTGTTCGTAGGAAAATATGCTGTGGCAGAGTTATTTCTTTGATATCGTATATTTTGAAACATTACGCATTCAGTTAATTTGTGCGACGTGCGTATATTTAAAAACTCAGTAAGGTAACGGAAAATAAAATATGGCATTGGCAAGCTGCTTCACCAAGTACGGAATACGGACATTTTCAACGAATGACGACAATTAAAGCCATCGAAGCCCTAGAAACGAGTTGTTTTTACACTAAATCAAGTGGCCATATAAGTGAACAACATCAAAAAACCCATACATGGCGCCATGGCATCTGCCAAATCATATGTACCGAACTGTGAAACGGCGCTTATCGTGATATTGGCTCTACTCTAGATATTAGCGGCAAGATGTTGGTAGGTATTCGGTATTCATTCATAATTCATATCTTGCTAAATGCTAATACAGGGCACCTGATCAAGTCTTTTCGTCACAAAATACATCCTTTATATAGCAAGGTCATCAGCCATTTGAAAGGTCAGCACGTGGCAAGGCTGCAAAGCCGATTAATGCTACTAACCAGACATTCCATCAACTATTCATAATTGGCGCGCCGACGGCAAAGCACACACGCACCGGCACAAGTCACACCCAGCGCGGGCGTGCTCCAAATGGCTTTGAGGTCTTCGAGACGGAACGCTTCGTAGATCGGCGACCACCAAACAAAAACCAGTAATACCGAACGAAAATTTATTTTTTCTCTGAATCAGACTCCCGGGTTGATATCAGTAGCCAAAACATCGATTTCTACAACTGCCACGTTGATTCATTTGCCGAACACACAGATGGAAATCAATTCTACAACCAGACCGTTCTCAGTAACGTTAAATTTTACATCAGCGATGGGGCTTAAAATTAAAAATCGCATGATATGCAAGGCCTAAACAATTAAGTCCGCTATGACTATGCATCAATTAGACGCAACCTGCCATTGAACGGACATAATACACAGAAACACTGAAATACCACCGAACATCTTTCAACACCGAAAAAATGTCGCCCACGACGTGATGCCTTCGGACGCAAAATTTGAAACAGACAACAATCCGGTTGGGTGTTCTTATGTCACGGCCAATGAGGAGGAGGGGAACCTTTCCGGGCGCAAAGCGATCACCTGTAGTCCAGAAAGCAACGCACGAATAGCAGATGTGACACCAACCCGCACTCACACGAGTCTAGTCTGTGTGTTAGGAGCCCCTACCAAACGGCTTCGCAACATCCATATTTCAGTCGAATATCCCGGGGATTATTAATAGACACAGCACACCGCGTGAGCCACCGGTTATCAATCTAAGTGCTCGTGAACACGCCGAATATAACATAACTCACCGCGCACGCAAATTAGATCCAACAGCTTTATTATTCGATACATGCTAGCAATTAATTTACCTTGATAATGAAACAAACAACACGGAATGTTCCTCAAAATTTGCCAGAGAACACGCGGACCGATACCGGGTGGCTTACAAGTAACACCAACCATTCAACATTCCTTTATGCGCGACGAACACCGATTCGGTTCTTTTTCTGGCCATCCCGATGGAACTGACACACGCGGCCAATGGGTTAAAAGCTCTGCTCTGCTCTCCGTCACTCGCAGGGTTCACCGCGGTCGTGAGCCATTTGACCGCGGGCACGGCCCAGATGCCTCGGATCTGACAGCTCAGTTCTTCTTTTTGTTACGCTCCTGAGGAAATGATTTTCCTCGTTAGTCTTACGAGCATTTAATAACGCGCTAAAATTACAATTGATTGCACTTCATACTTGCGAATTGACTTATGAATTGTACTTATTGGGGCCTTTCAATCAGTAAACTGTACTTCTTCAAAGGCATATCACATCAAACTACCAACGAAGCCCAGACAGAACTCCGCTAAGCGGCGGATCCCGACTCACCTCCTTCTGCATGAGGATGACCAGGACGTGGCGGAACACGTCCACAAAGTCGACAAACAGCATCAGCGAGTGCCAGACGTAGTCCTTGTCGCCGCGGCGGCGGCGCTCGATGATCAGCTGCGTGTCGTACAGGATGAAGCCGCAGAAGAGCACCAGGCCGCCGTACAGCTCCAGCTGTGAGCACACAGGGAGGGGTCGGTCAGAGATGAACGGGACATGAGCCAGAGATAAATTCACCGCGACACGGGCAGGCAACGGGCAACGGACAGCCGGCAACGAACACGGGATGACCGCCAACTATGGCGAGATTTCAACGGCTTGACAAGCGAACAAACAGCGGTATTGCGACAAATTTTTGCAACGTTATATACCATGATAGCACCCTGCACACAGAAAGTATGGTCATTAAAAACCAAACCTAATGCATAGGAACAATAACCTGTAAACAATAGATTTATTTACACACAAAGTCGTACGGCTATTCACCAAAAACTACCCCCGCACATGATTCGCGCAATTTTCCGTGCTTCATCCAAGAGCAACTGCCTCAGATGCCACATGGTGAATGGTGTATCGGCGTAACCGGCCCTCCTACCGCGCCCGACACAAGATCTGACGTTCCGGGGACTCACCTGGAAGATGAGGCGGGACCTGAAGAACAGGTTGGCCAGCGACAGCAGCATCATGGTGGAGAGCGCCGAGCCGAGGATGCCGCCAAGGAAGAGGAACTGGGCGCGCTGCGTGTACAGCGCCGCCAGCGAGAAGCTGACGAAGATGGCGCTGCTCAGCAGGAAGGCGGTCGTCACCAGCGAGGTGTTGATGAACAGCGAGAGCTCCAGCAGCGGGCCCAAACCCAGACCTGGCGGCAAGGTCCGCCGGTCAGGTCAGTCAGATAGCCGCAGGAGAAATATATCCCAACCCGTTCATAGGCCATGCACGATCCGGTCAGGCCAGGCCCCACATCACGTGAAGTGATCTCACCGCTATGATTATCACAAGATATTAAGAAAATATAGTTCGATCGATCGATAAGTAATGTATTTTATCGAACAAAACAAGTGGGCCTACGACCTGCGACTCTTGTCTGATAAGGCAACCGTAATCATCATGACAAAAAAGTGCGAAACAATTACTCATTATCTGGCTGGTTGACTGTAATGTTTCGTCACCATTTTGCGAAGAGCAAGAATATCACGTCTAATCAAAACTAATTTACCCCATTAAAGGGACCCTCCCACCTTCAAAAAGCTAATGAATTGGCATGAAAGTGATGTCGCTCGGTTCAGAAAGAGCGAAAACGAATATTCATCAAAGTTCATCGAAAAACATTCACCGGTTTTCAAGATATTGGACTTTTCCTTTTGTTTACTTTTTGGGATCTCCGCTGTTCCTGGCGACTTTGTTTGAAAGTGCGGCACTTGTTCCGCGCAAAGCAGCATATACCACCGCGTGCTACCAAACGTTTTAGTAAAAGAATTAAAATCGTTAGATCTGCACTCACGTCACACATTCAGAGGGGGCATTCTAATGCATTAGCCCCTCTGAATCCAAGTGCTGCAACTTTGAAATGATATATTTTCGATTTGAGGCATTTCTCGATCTTGTGAGTGCTCAAACCGGTAAGTGCAAGCCCGGGACCCCATTTTGGCTATCTCAACTCAAAACTAATGTTAACCCTCGCCGGACCTATTGGTTTTCTGCATACGCATCGGCCGAGGGGGGGGGGGGGCGGGTACGACCCCCCTCGCCGTTTCGCCCTTGGTGGAGCTAGCGCGTCGCGGAAAAAACGAGCGCGTGCGCCGTTATGAGACGCAGAGATTAGTACCCGATTTTAAGATCCTAGGTCAACCGGTGACCTCTGAGGTCAGGTCAAGTGCCCCAAGATACGGTTCAGTTTTTGGTGAATAACTTCGCAAAAAAAAGGCCGCAGAGCCGCGATTTTGGCAGCATCGTGTTCGCCTCGCTCAGGCGCGTCGCATGACATACTTTTTGTTTGGGTCAGGTCAACTTAGGGTGTTGACCTCAGGTCACGGTCAGGTCAGCGCCCCCTGGTCACGAGTTCGACGAAAGAGGTCGTGTCGCATATCATTCGATTCGGCAGGCCTTTCTGAGCCCATTGGTGACTTTCCCGACTCGCTAGCTCAATTTGATCGGGAGTTATTGACGAAAAACTAATATGACCTTGATGACGTCATAAATGACGTCACGCAAGGTCAACATTGCAAAAGTGACGCATCTAACCTTGCAAGGAATGCATCAAATCACGATTCTGTGTGCTTGTGATAGTTGGAGATCGTTCCCGGCGCCAGAATAGCAATTTCATTTTTCCCCATTGACTTATCCTGCAAGTTTCATTTCCCTGTGAAAGCTCCTCTGGCAGTGAGGGCGTTGCGAAGTTGCGACATCTGAGGACCGTGCAGAGGTTCACTTATGACGTCATAGGTCAGTGACCTGACCTGACCCGAAAATGCGGTTGGTGTCAAAAGATCCGGCTTGAATCAAAGATCAGATATGCCAAGTTTCAGCTCTCTATCGCCAGCGTGTTCGGAGCTATCGCGAAAAAACCTATGGGGGGGGGGGCGGCACCCACCCCCACCCCCTCGGCCGGCGAGGGTTAAGGTGGGATGGTCACTATAAACTTCCATTGAACCAAATGCGCTCGGCTAAATGGGCGCCTCATTTTATGGCCCATGCGCCGGGGCCAGGCGTCCCCTGTCGGTCTAGTCTCGCCACCGTGCCTGCCCGGCAGGCGGCAGCTGACTGTTCACGGCCAGATAGGGACCGGTGAGCGGGGGGAGGGGCAGAGCTCAGTGACACGTGGACGGGGCCGCAGCGGGAGCCCTGTGCCTGATGCAACCGGCCGCCCGAGGTGTGGTGTGACGTCAGAGCGGCTAGCGCGGCACAACGTTCCGCGTCCGCTCGGGGCCGGGGCACTTGTAGCTCAGCCGGCGTCGCATAATACCGAGTCCAACATCAACAGCCCCGTCACACGGCGAAGTCCGGGGAACGTTCGAGAGAGCCAGGTCACCGGTCCCGGCCGGGGGAATTACCTAATGTTTACCATCGGAAGAGGCTCAGACTCAGTGAAGAGGCCCGGTGAATCAGACTTTGGACCGACGGGGCAGGGGTGGGCGGCGGGCCGGCGGCGGCCCAACGCCTCTGTCTGAAGGAGAATCTATGCAACGGGTAGAGGAAGGGATAGCTGCTATAGGTGTTCACGCAGAGCGGCGCTAGCAATTTGCTAACTTTCCCCAAATGAGTACAGCTCTGCTGCTGTCATTACGAGTCTAACCTTCATTTTGCCGTCCATCAAATAAGACCAAAGCCCACTAAGGCATACAGCTTACATCCGGCCCACTCCCTCAAACTATGAGAAAAGGCGTAAAATAAATAAACGTTTGTTCAGCCAACCTTAACACACTTATATTCCCCTTTTAACTATTAGAAACAGCGTAAAACAAACGTCTCGTAAGCCAGCGTAAAATGAATAAACGTTTCCAAAAGTTTTTCATGATAAATTGACGCAACACGTACTCAATTTGCAGTTGCACCGTCCATTTCAGACGGTGCACCGAAAATGCTGTGTATCGCATAGCAAAATACTTCAACAAACAAAATCGGTTCCAATGAACGACGGACGTATACGCCTCGCTATATACGCTCCTTTGGAGGAAACTAACCTGAAGATAAAAACTAAACACAAATATGAAATAAGCAGAAACACGTCCGGAACAAATATCTAAAAACCCTCGAAGAGGCTGAGCCTGGTGGCATCATTTAGCCAGCTCGTCACACCAGACGCCACCGCCAAAACCCCCAGAAACTCCGAGAAAAGGACTCGCCTGTGCAGAAGGCAAAGCCGCCGAGCAGCCCAAGCCTCTTGGCCGTGTTCTTGCCGTCGTCCGGGGTGAACATGAGTGCCCCCATGAAGCCGAGCGAGGCGAGCGCCGACAGCAGGCCACCGGACAGCAGGCCCGTGTACAGGTGGACGGCGCTGCCGGCGCCCGCCAGCAGAGTCGAGATCGACACCGCAGAGTACACATTCTTCAGGTGCTTCCGGACTGGTGGCTCCCTGCATGGTGAGAGATCTGTGTAAGAATGAATATGGGCGAAACAAATAATTTTGAAAACAATTATTCCTTAACAGAAGACTACCAGCCCTGCAGCTCTTGACAAACTTGTGGCTATATTTTAGAAGGAAAACTCTAAAGCTGTTAACATGTCCCAGGGATTTCTTTGATGGTAGATTTCATCAGATGTTTATAAACAGAAGCAAATTCAAGTGAATTATAGTTAACAGGGTCCTATGAGCCTATGATCAGTCTTTGAGCAATACTTATTAGTTATTCAGTCACTGCTAATGAGCTAAACACTGCTGAACACTGTTCAATTAAGACTTAAATGGATAGTCCTAACTGTGAATGATGTCTAAAAAAAGGTGTTATCACATACAATCATCCTGCTTCACCAGGAAAACTCCTTTCCCCTGGCAATGCTAATGCCTGGAGTTGGAGTTGCCACTGCATACTTCGGTATTCTCTTAGCAGACGTCGCCCTTGCTGCCATATCTAGTTAGGTAGGTTGTAGGTAGGCCGTAGGGTTAGGTCAGGTTATATTGTTTTGTTATATATTTAACTGTGAAAAGACAATTGCGGCACACCTGAGACATAGGTATGGCAGCAAGGGCGACACCTGCTAAGAGAGTACTGGCATTAGTAGAGAAGTTTTTCCAACTGAGGAGAGGTGCTGTAGGTTTGTAGGTTGTAGGGTAGGTTTGTAGGTTGTAGGTAGTATGTTTTTAGGTTGTAGGTTTGTAGGTTGTAGGTTGTAGGTTAGGGTAGGTCAGGTTAGGTTAGGTTTGTTTAGGTTTTGTTAGAAAGAAGCACCTGCGGGTATAGCGCCTCTCCTTGGTTGGAAAACCTTCGTGTGACGTCTGCTCTACCAATACTGAGAGTACCTACCCAGACTTCTATGGGCTGTGACTAATACCTACATATCTCCTGAAATTGGTCGATATTTTGCTACATTCTAATCAACATATTCACCGACTATCATGAATCATGATTAATAGAAAAAGAAGTTATACTATGGAGGCCTTCCACTAACAATATAACAAAATATTCAAACAAGTTTCAGTCTAGACTGGTAGACTAGGTAATGGTACCAATACTCACAGGTGCCCGGACAAGCCCTTGATGAAGCGATCAGGGTTCATCTTGCTTTTCCTTAACTAAAGTATCAAAGACTTTACAAGTTTCTACGGGATCTACTGTATCAAACAACACGAACAGGCAATTATATCCAAATTATAGCCCTTCTTATGGACGACGGTGAAAACAGGGCGCCTAGGGCGATTTGATCAAGGTTCGTGAAATTCACACGTGATGTTTTACGTGTAGAAGGCCCATGAAGGGGGAGAACTTCCAAATGTCACGTGACTAATATGCCCTCCGGCGCCCTGTTTTCACCGGCGTCCCTTCTTATGATAACGAACGAGGACCCCACATCTTCACAACACGTCACAGAAGTGACGCAAAACGACGCATCACAGAGGCACGTCAGCTGTCGGTAGCTTTTAATTCCCGAGAGAAATCGCAGACAAAAGATAATCTAGAAAAGCCGAAAACCTTCTAGATTCACTCACCTGGAGCGTGTATAGTAAGCATATTGCGCAATGATCACCAGTCTGCACTATAATCAGCGCTTTCATTCGAATTTTTATCATTCAAACGGCACATTCTTATTAAAATGATATGCTCGATGATTTTCTCAATCTGGTTGTAGACTACTGTTTCTAGTTCAAAACACCAGAAACTTTTTGGTAGTGCTTTTCGGAAGGTGACTGCTTGGTGCCAACAAAGTGCCTACAATTCAACCAATTCAACTAAGGATTCTTGCATGCATCATGAATGTCGTGGACACGATTTAAAAAAAAAAGAATATTCAATGATTTGACCCACAAGTATGCGATGGAAGGTCCGCAAAATCTACAAACAGCTTGAAGAGGAAACTGTTTTTCTTTGCATGTTTTGTGAATGTTCAAAGGCCGCTTGTTCCCGCTCGTGATAGTAGTAGTTGTTCGAGTGTTTACCGCCTAGATTTTTACGAGCGATTTTTTTTAGTTTGTTTGGGAGATAGGTTACGAGTTTTATTTGCCTGATGATTGTGAGGAAAGGCTGGCAGTCATTTTTTTTTTACCGTGAATCTAATTGAGGTGATTCATTTTGCTTTCACAGAACTGATAAGTGTTTTTACATTTCAGACTATTGCTTTCCATAGTTTTATAGCCTTGTGCTTTCCGTTTTTGCCATTTTACCTTTTTGTGCCATTTTTGCCTTTTTTAATCAAGATTCTTATGTATTCTTCAAGATATTTGACAGTCATCTGACAGTGTTATTTGCTTGTATCAGTGAATATATTGACAATTTGTTGCAGAAATTTGCAAACCGTGGATTTATCACTTATCAGCAACTGTCTTGTTTTAGTAGTTATGCTGCTGAACTTAATCCTTTTTGTGAGTCTTATGTTTGCTGACGTAAAATCCATATTTTTAAGTACAAACATTTACCATTAATGAATGATAACTGCATAACACACATATGTCCGCCCTTCACTGGATAAATTTAATATTGTTTTGATGCCAGTTTTTGCGATGTGATATAAAGTGAGCTTGAAATTATAATTTGTGATCAAAGATAGATGGGTTGGACTTGGATGTAGGTATATTTAGTACATTTCAATTTGTGTTCTCATATCTGTATTTTGGTTGTTTGGTGTTGTAGAAACTTACTGAACATGTTAGACCCAATTGCATGTTTTTAATAAATGGCAGATCATGTGAAAAAAACATTTCAGTCATATAAGAGCATGTTTCAATAGTGGGTCTTATGCAGCATAGTGATAGCTTCATTTTGTTCTGTTCAGTATTAAGCTGTTGTATTCAATTTTTGGCATTTATTCAAACAAATAAAAATTAAACTACGTGAAGTAAAAACTAAACGGAGAAGAAAATTTGACTCAAGGACAGTTTTAAGCGTACAAACAGTTGAAAATAGTTAAAACCACTTAAAAACAGCGTGCTCACATTGTGTCAGCAGAAAGGTAATTTTGATTGGAAATGATGAAAGATAAGAATCAAAAACTATGGCAACACTGAAAACAATTGCTTGCATATTATGTGAGGTATTTATGTAGTGAAAAGTGAAGAAAATTCTACTATATGCTTAATGAAATAGAATAATGTCATATTTGAACCTTATTGTGCTATTTTGTTGATTAAATCAGTCCCAAAGTATGCATTTATATTCTTATGTTCAGTTTCTCATGTCATTATAATTGGGAACCTTTGTCGACCTAGCCAAATAAGAATTTGGTAATAAAATATATTTCAGACAATGGACAAAGATCTGGCAGATTTGTCATTCTTACATTCTCCTAATCTGCATCTGGTGGAGGATATGGATGTTTTACAAGCCATGCAGATGGCTTTGGAGGTAAGAATTTTGTTTAGGTATATGCGAGTACCTACCTATTAGTATTGCTACCAATCTATGCATATACCCCTCACATATTATGCTCTTATGAGTTATCATTTCCTTGAGGACATTTCTAGAGAATGCATATTATTGCCTGACTTTGATTTAGTGTAATTATTCCTGAAGCACTCTTGGCTTTTGATTGGCACTATAAGAGAGCATTGATAAATGATAGCCATGGCCAAGGATATGCTTGTTACTGGCACAGTTATGATTAATTGTTTATCAAGATTTTTTTGTAAGCACAAACGCCAGGTTTATATTTTTTCAATACTGTCAATTAGTGGTCCAGAGTTTGGTTTTATATCACTGTTTTCAGCCGGAAAATGCCAATACCCAGCCATCGGCACCGGGAGCTGCTATGGGACGACCAGCGGAGTCCACCGCTGGGCAGCCCACGGCTTCGGCCTCCGGCCCGGCCCCACCGACTGAAAAGGTGGCGCCACCATCTGCGTCGGGATCGGCGCAGGGGGAGCCACCGTCGGCGCTGCTGGGGCAGCTGTTAGCGCCGCGGTCCGCCACTGCGGGGCCCAGCGCAGTCAGAAGGCCGACCGGACGGCGCGCAGGGGCGCGGACCGTTGTCCGGGCCCGCGGGGCGGTGCGCCAGGCGGCTGCGGTGCGTCCAGTGCGCGCCCAGGCGCCGGTGACGATCTCTACCTCCCTGCCGGTGATCACTATCGGTGGCAGAGCGCGGCGGGAGGTAGCTCCCGGGACGGCCACCCCGGCTCCTCGGGGAAAGTCACCCTCCCAGGTCGTCATCGTCAAACCGAAGGCAACGGTAAGCCATTATCCTCTCTCTTATAGACAATAGTTATCTCGATTATGTTTCATCATCGGCTTCACAAAGTCATCTCTGCCGTACCCATACCAACGGTATCGATCACACTATTGACAGCATACTCGCTCTTCAGCATTAGGAGGGGCTTATTTTGGTATCTTGACTGCTTCCCATGGCCGATGGCTGACTCAAAGCTTGGGACGACTGTCCGTACTTGTACTTTACGTTGTATACCTTCATTTTCAGGTTAACCAAACTGTTACGCCAAGCGCGCTGAATAACAACAAGAGAGTCATAGTGGTTGGGCCAAAGTAAGTGTTCTTTTTTCCTTGTTTTCCCGCCCTCTTTGCTTTATTTGATGTTGTGGTGCGTTTTTCTTATTGTTTCAGAATTTAATAGATGGTGTTCACGCTCCGTAAAACCTATGCAATTCGGAGTGAATTTTCAATCTGGTTAAGCAATGTAACTCTGATCTAAATCACCCTATTGGTGATATGTACCTTGATAAAAAAGTTAAAGTCCGTACCTTGAATATGATGACCAGACTCGACACTGTTATGCGCGCCGTCTGTCGCCCATCTCCGTTAACCGCTAGTTCCTCCGCCCTCCGCCGTGTGACCGCGGTTGTCTGATCCACAGGACTGCGGCGCCCCGGACCCGCTGTCCGCCCGTGTACACCACCCGGTCCGTAGTTCCGGCCGTGAGCATCCAGCCGCGGCCGGCGGCGGTCACCTCGGCGGGCGCTTCGTCCACCTCGACCACCCCGGCTGTGGTTCAGAAGGTGACGCTGTCCGGCGTGCGCGCCCAGGTGGTCATGGTGGGCGGCAAGGAGCGGATCGTGCTCTACCGCCGGCAGCCCGGGGAGCGCGCTGACGCCCCGGGCGTGGGCGTGCTGCCGGTGGTGCCGGCCGGACCCCGTGCTGCCGTGTCGGCGCTCCCCAGTGGCACTCAGACCACCACCGCCGGCGGGCCGTCGCGGACCTCTGTGACAGCCGCCTCGACAGCGGGAAAAACAGTCAGTGGGCCGCCGCGGGCCGCTGTGGGCGCCGCTCCGGCCGCTGGGTCGGCCGTCAGTGCCGCCGCCGAGCCGCCCGGCAAACGGGGCCGGACCGCTGAGGCCCCCGCAGTGACTTCCGTCATGAAAGTGGCCGATAAACTAGCCGATAAGGGGACACACAAGACTGTAGGCGAGGCTGTGTTGTCGAGTAAGCCAGCTAAACAAGTCAAAGTGAAAGCTGCCGTAAAATTAGGCGTCAACGCTGTGGCGATGATTGTGCCAAGTCCGGCACCGAAGCTCACCGTTCCACCGTTCGTAGTACCCATCTCGGGCCTTACCGCTGAACCAGTCACCCAGGCATTAGCCAGTCACACCGACACTCCAAATCCTGAGACGAACACTGGGACAGAGAAAAATCCCTCCGGTGTCATCAACGTTCGAATTGCCAACGGCTGTGTAACGGCGACCACTTCCGGCGTGCCGCCCGTGTCTGTGGCACCGGTGACGAATCGGACACCGGACGCGCACGTGCTGCACGGTCGTCTGGAGAGGACCGCCGGTCCCGCCAGCGTGCCACTGCACTCACTGCGGCCTCCGGCGCCACCGCCGGCCGACCGGCCGCTGGTGGTTGATGACGGGGAGGTGCAGGCATGTGAGGAGCCCGCCACGGTGCCGCCCTCCGGGGCTGACGGGCCAGAGGCGGGCGGCAGGCCGAGCCGGGTTAGTGTTGACGAGGAGCTGCAGAAGGCGGTGAGCGAGATATTCGACTGTGTGGACAGCGCAGCCCAGTCGCCGCAGACGGCCGATATGCTGATCGACGGGCTGCTGGAGCAGGTGGAGGGAGATGGGAGTGGGTCCTCGGCCGCTGGCGGTGCGCAGCTGCAGCAGGCGCCGGCCGAGCCCAGTTCCCAGGACTCGCAGCCGCCCCCGCCCAAACCGAGTGACCCTCCGTCGACGGAGCCTAGTTCTCAGGACTCACAACCGCCCCCGCCCCAGCCGAGCGACCCTCCGGCGGTGTGTTCGAGCTCCCAGGACTCGCAGCCGCCCCCGGCCCAGCCGAGTGACCCTCCAGCTGGCGCTCCAAGCCCCCAGGACTCACAGCCGCCCCGGACAGCGCCCACTGACCCTCCGGCCGCCGGTCCGAGCTCTGGCAGCACGGAGAGCACTGCGCCGCGGCCCGGCGGGCGCCAGCGCCGGCGCAAGGACGTGCTTCTGCCGCTAGCGCGCGATACCGAGCATCTGGAGCTGCCTCCG